TAAAAGTTTGTATTCAAGCGCCCCATTCAGCACGGGAAGGTTGGGGGTTATGCCCCTCCCATGCCTCATACATGCTTTATTCCCCCCCACCCCAGTTCACTGAAGGCCTGAATAGGTCACTGGTTTTGTATGAATCAAAGAGAGAATAATAGTTTGCCATGTAAAATATTGGCTATGGTGCACCCACATTAATCTACAGTGCACTGGTCACAGAATAATAGAATGGCAGAGTTGGAAGGGCCCCCAAGGGTCATCTAGTCCAACCAACCGCAATGTAGGAATCACATAATAATAATAATAATAATAATAATAATAATAATAATAATTTTATTATTTATACCCCACCCATCTGGCTAAGTTTCCCCAGCTACTCTGGACGGCTCCCAATCAAGTGTTAAAAACAATACAGCATTAAATATTAAAAACTTCCCTAAACAGGGATGCCTTCAGATGTCTTTTAAAAATAGGATAGCTGCTTATTTCCTTGACATCTGGTGGGAGGGCGTTCCACAGGGCGGGTGCCATTACTGAGAAGGTCTTCTGCCTGGTTCCCTGTAACCTCACTTCTCGCAGTGAGGGAACCGCCAGAAGGCCCTCGGCGCTGGACCTCAGTGTCTGGGCTGAACGACAGGGGTGGAGACGCTCCTTCAGATATACGAGGCCGTTTAGGGCTTTAAAGGTCATCACCAACTCTTTGAATTGTGCTCGGAAACATACTGGGAGCCAATGTAGATCTCTCAGGACCGGTGTTATATGGTCCTGGCAGCCACTCCCAGTCACCAGTCTAACTGCCGCATTCTGGATTAATTGCAGTTTCCAAGTCACCTTCAAAGGTAGCTCCACATAGAGTGCATCGCAGTAGTCCAAGCGGGAGATAACCAGAGCATGCACCACTCTGGCGAGACAGTCTGTGGGCAGGTAGGATCTCAGTCGTCATACCAGATGGAGCTGGTAGATAGCAGAATTGACCTGCACCTCCATGGACAGCTGTGAGTCCAAAATGATTCCCAGGCTGTGCACCTGGTCCTTCAGGGGCACAGTTGCCCCATTCAGGACCAGGGAGTCTTCCACACCCACCCGCTCCCTGTCCCCCCAAAACAGTACTTCTGTCTTGTCAGGATTCAACCTCAATCTGTTAGCCGCCATGCCAGAATCCCTGACAGATGGCCATCCAACCTCTGTTTAAAATCCTCCAATGAAGGAGAGACCACCACCTTCCCAGGTGGTCTGTTCCACTGTCCAACAGCTCTTACCATATGAAAGTTCTTCTTAATATTCAGTTGGAATCTTCTTTCTTGTCATTTGAGTCCATTGGTTTGGATGCTTGCTCCATCTTCCATGTGACATCCCTTCACAGATATTTGAAGATGGCTCTCATATCAACTCTCAGGGCTTCTTCATACGTTGGACCTGTGCTTTCCAGGCTTTCAATCTTCATGTCCAAGTATTCTTTTGTGTTGTTGCTCCAGAGCTTTCCCTGCAAAAAACAAAACCCCAAACCCCAATCTTTAAAGCTGAAGTGAAACAAATGGCGATTCACAGATCGCTGTTTGCTCCAATTCAATGGTAAAGATGGTTTGCACAGGGATAGCAAAAACAAGAGTACTAGGACTCAGAGCTTTAATGCTGGAAAGCACAGAGGAAAAGTAAGTGTGGACAAGTTCTTAGCCTTCTCTTCTCCAGGCTGAACATACCCAACTCATTCAACCCTTTAGCAGAGGGTTTGTTCCACCACCTTCGCACCAACCTATGCACATTTTCTTTGAGTCGAGATAGACATGTATTCTACGTGCTTGTTTTGGCGTTTCCAAGGGCACAGCACACACAAAAATGTTATGAAAATCCACCAAGGAGGTTTGACAGCCGACGGTGGCAGGATGCAAAAATCTGAACACACCGATTCCGGGTCTGTGACGGCTCAACAATGCCAAAAAACCGAGTCTCTGAAAAGCATCCTGTATGCTTTTGTGTGAGCAGGTATTAGCTGAGAATGGGCTCCCCAAACTCTACTTCGATATTTTTAGGCATGACGCACTGGGAGAAGCATCAAGTTATTTTTACGAGGGTGCTCATCAATCATGTAATGACACAGCCATCAAAATAAAAAGAGCAGATAAATGAATGCAGGGAATGACAAGGACTTGCCTGGAGCCTGGGCCGTGGGGTTTAATGACCCCAGATTGGGCTCCGATATGAAGAGCCTTTCTTGGTTGGACGTTGGGCTACCCTTCTCTCAGTCACTCCACACCTCTGCTTAGCAACCATCAATCATAATTAATTAGCAATGTGGTAATTAATCTTGCCGAAGAAGGTGTTCTCCCTGGATAATCATCTCCTACTGACCAAGAACTGCAAGAGTTTGTCCCTGCTAGGGATTGGCCCTCCAATTATGCATCACAATCGTCTGCTATTTTGAGGGTGGGGAAGTCTACTCACCTCAGTCGGATTGATTGGGGTTGGAAGGCTCTGTGCAAAATGGGAAATGGTTGCCTTCAACACGTCCCTAAACTGCTTGACGTCTTGGCTGGAGAGTGAGGAGAGGCTGTGTCTGGCAGTTAACCAGAAGGTTGGTGGTTCAAGCCCACCCAGGGATGGCTGTGGGCAGAATTCCTGCATCACAGAGGGTTGGACTAGATGACCCTTGGTACCCTTACCACTTGACAATTCTAGGGGCACCCTCCCCCCTTCAAATACTGTGCAATTCAGAAGCAGTCCTAGGTATTGCGATGTGGAATCATAGAGCTGGAGGGAGCTTTGCAGGCCAGCAGTGGGAAACCTCTGCCCCATGGGCCTTCTTAGACTGTCCAGGCTCCCCCATTTGGCCCATGCAGCCATGTTGGATGAGCAACATTCACCTGTTCTATACCTTACATCATATTAATCATGTCCGTTGTGGGACAGGTAAAGGCATGGCTTCCCTGCCGAAAACAGGGGCTTGCAGGACCCACCAACCAGCTGATCATCAGCACTTGCAAAGAAATGATGGGGTTTTAGCAAGTGTCACTGATCAGCTGATCTGGCACCTCCGATCAGCTGATTTGGCAAGGCCGGTCAACTGATTGTCGGCACCTGCAAAGTGATGGGAATACAGGATGTCTGTTGACTGGAGAGGAATGTAGCATAACGTATTTCTGCCTTGCTTGCCTTCTTCTGAGCTGCGTCTCTGCAGAAGCAGCCTAGAGCAGCCTTTGCCAAGCTGGTGCTCCCCATGGCGGGAGTGGCAGCCCAAAACATCTGGAGGGGGTACCCACAAGACTGCCAAGACTGGTTGGGGGTGTTAGTGGGGCAACACATTTCTCTTTTTCATTTGAGTTGCCAGCCAACTCCTCAGAGACTAGGATGCTAGTTTGTCAGCTGTCCGATCGCCCAGGTGGGCAGAGAGCGCTGAGGTCATTCCGGCATCCAAACAGGGGCTGATTCTGATTCCTCTGGGATCAGAGGCAGTTCTCCTTTTGCAAGGAGGCAGTTCTCCTTGATGCTTAACTCTGTCAGCTGCCCAAATTCACTTCCAAGTCTTTCTGCAGCTTCTTTCTCCAGACGCCCATTAATTTTCCTTTGGAGGACTCACTTGTCTGATCTGCTAATGCTTTCCACTCCCAATCAGTCCAGCCCCTCAAACTCCACCAGATCTCTCCCTCTCTCTCCGTCTCTGCACCAGACCCCTTTCAGCCTCTCTCGAAACATCCTACTGCATTAGCAGCCGAGACAAAGAGAGCTGCACAGGCACCACTTCTCCTTTCATTCCCCCTTCCCGTTGACTGATTTTCTTTTTATTAACCAGCCTTGGAGGGAACAATCCCAAAGACATGCCTCCCCACCTTGTCACACTTTTTAAAAACTAAAAAAAACCCTCCTTTTAATCAACCCTTCTTCCTTTTTTGTCCTGCAGCTCATTGCCTGTCCTTCCCTCTCCCTTCTCAAGAGCTTGAAATAAATTGATTTCCTTGAAAAGGATGCGGAGATAACAGGGCTATCAATTAATAATCCCGAGTGGTGTAATAATAATAATAATAAAAAAGAGTCGGGGTCGCTATGGACTTCTTTTTTAGAATGCAAATATCACCTTTTTATTCATGAGTTCTTAAGAGGCGTTGGATCAAGAGTGCTGGGGGAAGAGAGAGATGGAGTCTATTATTTTGTCCAATAGTACTTTTGAGTAATGAAGTGCTTCTTAGGATTCCTTCCTGAATGGATTCAGGAAATGGTGGTGTGGGGGTGCATGAAAAAGAGGGAGGGAGGAGTGGGATTAAAGGCACTCATGGAGCCTAGTTATGCTGGCTACTGGGCCAGCTTCACTCTGCTCACCAACTCCAGCTACCCTTTTAAATGACCAAATCTCCCTCCTTTTACACCTCAATTACCCTGCCCCCGCACAACTCCCCCCCAAGCCTTTCCCTTCTCCCCCAAGCCCCACCCCCTTTTAAATGGTCCCCTTGGGGTGTCCCCTTGCTAAACTGCTATAGGGGGAAGTGCAAAAAACAAATGTATTCATTGTGAAAAGGACGTACCAAAATGCATCGTTAGCTTGCAACAATGTGCGTAATTGTCAAAATTACATACAGAAATGTGTATATCGGAATAAATCCTATGCCTACATTCATGAAACGAATATGCATGACTGCATTATATATAGGGAAACAGCTTGCAAAAATGTGTGCCGTAGTCAAAACTGCATACATAAAAAGTTAAATTTGCATTAAATTAATCTTGATGAGTTGTTTTTTTTTGTATTTTTTAATTGCAAATTGGAGAATTGGAGAATTTTAAATTGCAAACTGGAGAATTTGAGAATTTTAAATTGCAAACTGGAGAATTTGGGACTGGGGGAAAATGAGACACTGAAGGAAAAGGGTTTCCTGGGTTGCACCCACTGAGTGCATTGACAGTTTAAATAAGTTCTCAATGTCTCTAAATGTGTAGCATAGATTTCCTCTTGTTAAATCACCACTGCTTTTCAAGTGTGTGAATGACAATGATCCCCCCCTTTCCCGTTTGTACAGGTGGTAGCCTTTCCAAGCAAGACTGGACGATCCAGTGGCCGGCAACGACTGAGACGGGCAAGGAGAACAACCCCGTGTGCCAATCGGAATCCATGCAGTGGATTCGAACCCACCTCTCTCCGAGCCCCAAAGCTCAGTCCAAATGCACCCAGCACTACTGCCACTCGACCTTGCCGCATGGACCGGTGTATGCCCATGTGGATAGGCTGACCGTGGAAGGCTTCCCAGGGCTGTGCCCACCACTGGAGTCCGGCCACCGCTCCTTGCCCCCTTCCCCGCGGCAGCGGCATGCTGCACATACTCCGCCACGCACCCCTAACATCGTCACCACCATGACGCCACCAGGCACACCGCCGGTCAGGAGGAGGAACAAGGTGAAGCCCCCGGGAACGCCACCCCCATCCTCCCGGAAACTCATCCACCTTTTCCCAGGCTTCACCACCTTGCACCGCAGCAAGTCCCATGAATTCCAGCTGGGCAATCGAGTGGATGAGGCTCACACACCCAAGTAAGTGGACTGAGGAGGGAATATGTGCATGGACAACAGGGGTGGAGAAAGGGGAGGTGGACTTGTCCCCCAGGGAATGTGTGGGGGTGCTAGGTTGATGATCAGAAGGTCGGTGGTTCAAATCCCCATGATGGAGTGAGCTCCCGTTGCTCTGTCCCAGCTCCTGCCCACCTAGCAGTTCGAAAGCATGCCAGTGCAAGTAGATAAATAGGTACCACTGCAGCGGGAGGGTAAACGGCGTTTTCGTGCGCTCTGGTTTCCGTTACAGTGTCCCGTTGTGCCAGAAGTGGTTTAGTCCTGCTGGCCACATGACCCGGAAAGCTGTCTGTGGACAAACGTCAGCTCCCTCAGCCTGAAAGCGAGATGAGTGCTGCAACCCCACAGTCACCTTTGACGGGACTTAACCATCCAGGGGTCCTTTACCTTTACTTCTTCTTTTTATAATCCCTGTATCCGCAATGGACCTATTGATGACAATAATACATTGATCTAGCACTTTCCAGCATTAAAATACCACTTCCTCTACCAGCACCAGCACCGCCACGATTTATATTTACTGTATATATGTTTCTTTCTTTTGTAAATGAGAGCTTTAGTTTCTGGGAACAGCAGCCTGGGGGAGAGTAGGCCTGCTGGTCACGTACCCACCTCTATGCCATGAGGTGGGGGAGACAGGGTGCTTGGTATTGCACAGTTCTATTTGTAGGTGTTTCTATTGGTTCAAGTGCTCTTATAGGCTGGCCGTGTTCTTAGGAACAATCCAAAGAAGGTGCAAAGTTTGGATGGAGGAAGATGCATAGGTGAAAACCCCACTGAGACCAGGAGAGGTAGCTGGTCAGAGCTGCATGCCGGGAGCTTCTCTGTGGCTGCTTCCACCTGCACCCCTTGGTCGTCATTGAAAGATGGGATGTAAAGATAACGAACCCTTTTGCCTTCCATTTCGTGCATCGGTTTCTTTCAAACGAGCAGGAGGCAGGCCATTTAGCCATCGGAGCTTGGCAGTGCCACATACTCTGGGACGCTGATGGGGTTGCCAGCTCATTAGGTCCGAATGTGGCCTCCCCAGAGGAGAAGGGCTCTCCATTCCTTCTAATGAACTGTTCCACATCAACAGGGGTGGCGTTGTGGGTTGGGGGGAGCACCTCCCAGCCACTCTGTCCCTTCTCTCAGCCATTATAGATATTTTCCATCTCTTGCTCTCTCTGCATTTCAAAAAGTTGTCAAGCAATGTAGTCTCTCTCTCTCTCCGATGAATTTTCTTTTGTGTCTTTGTCGGCGAAAACATTCGTTATTTTGTGCAGGGACAGGAGTGAGGAACTGCCAGCCCAGGGGCCAAATACAGCACTTCAGGCCTCTCTGCCTAGACCTCGGTGCTCTCTCCAGGTTGCACCCTCTCCTCAAGCACACCCTGCCACTCCTGCCTCGCAAGGGCCCTTGCGGGTGACCACATAGTACTCTGCATGTTGTAGGCATGGCCTGCTGCAGACAACGAGTCCCATAGCTGGTGAAGCGTGGAAATCAGGACCATGGACAAGAAATCAGGACCATGGACAGGAAATCAGGACCATGGACAGCTCCCTGTGCATTGAGGCCACATACAAGCGCACACAGGCCATGATGTTTGTCCAGCTAGGTTCTGTGGCTCACTGAGGTCTTAAGGCACGGGTGGGGAGCCTCAGGGGTGGGGGTCAAATGCAGCCCCCAAGCCTCCCCATCTGGCCCTCATGACTCTCCCCAGGCACACCGCCTCTCTAGCTCTGCTTTACACATGGCTCAAGTGTTTTAGCCTGGCTGGAAATAAACTTGCCACTTGTCTGCATGGAGGATAGAGAAGGGTGTGCAAGTCTCTGTTGAGAAGCTAGCCTACTGTACAAAGGTGCTCTTCCCACTTCTGTTGCTCTTCCCACTTCGGCCTCTGCCTCCGCCCACAGCTCACATGTGCCCCCCCCAAGGGAATGCAACGCTTAGGCTGAGAAAGGTTCTCCAGCCCTGATACGGGAAGTGCAAACTGCCTCTTGAGGAGCAGATGTCCCACTGACTGCCACTTTCTGCAAGGCACCAGGGGAGGGTTTTTGCCTTCTTGGTGTGTTTCTCAGAAGTTTCTGGTCAGCTGTTGTGGGATGCCGGACTCGGTACTGGGTAGACCTTTGGTCTGATGCAGCAGTGCTTCCCCCTAGGTTCTTATGCTTGATCAAGCTAGATAGTTCATTAAGTTCCAAATCTGGATTAGCTATTAAGTATACTTGGTGGTGGGATGCGGGTGGTGCTATGGTCTAAACCACAGAGCCTAGGGCTTGCCGATCAGAAGGTTGGCGGTTCGAATCCCCGCAATGGGGTGAGCTCCCGTTGCTCAGTCCCAGCTCCTGCCAACCTAGCAGTTCAAAAGCACGTCAGAGTGCAAGTAGATAAATACGTACCGCTCCAGCAGGAAGGTAAATGGCGTTTCCGTGCGCTGCTCTGGTTCACAAGAAGTGGCTTAGTCATGCTGGCCACATGACCTAGAAGCTGTACGCCGGCTCCCTCGGCCAATAAAGCGAGATGAGCGCTGCAACCTCAGAATCGTCCGTGACTGGACCTAATGGTCAGGGGTCCCTTTACCTTTACCTATACTTCTTGGTGCAGGGCCCAGTGAACCAGGGATTTATTTCTTTACTGTGAGGGCCACATTTCCTTCTGGGGAACCTTCCAAGGGCCACATGCCAATGGGGGCAGCAGAGGCAAAAGCAGGTGGGCCAATGAACTTACATTCAATCTTTGTACTGTAGGCCAGATTCTAAACACACCTTCTCTCTCTCTCTCTCTCTCTCTCTCTCTCTCTCTCTCTCTCTCTCTCCCTCTCTCTCCCTCTCCACTTTCCAGGCAAGCAAAAAGCACAGCCAGGGTGCAAAAACACGGCACATAGCAAGCCTTAACTCCTGACTTTCTGCTTGCTCTCCTGCCCATCTTTAGGGAAGGGGTTATCATGAGTCTGGTTCACAGAGATCTGATCTTGAAGCCTAAACTCCTGGCTGCTAGATTAGAAACTTCCTGTTCTTGGAAGGATCTGCTATGCAAAGGGTCTGGCCATTGGCTCTAAATGAGACATGAACATAGGATGCCGGCGGAGAAATGAGCAGAGACAAGTTCTCTGAGGCCGGAGTTCAGTTCATTATGTACGTTACTAACAAAGATAAGGCACCCCATCTCCCCCTTTGGTTAGACTCAACAGTTTCAGCCAGACTTGCCATTTCAGAATGCAAACCATTTTTGCCCCCTTCTCCATCCATCATTATTCAACCCATTTCCCCACCTTGTCCTCTATGTCAGTACGGTGATTTTGTATCACCTTGAGCTTTTGCAAAAATCGTTCAACGAAAACCTTTTTTTAAAAAAACAAAACAACAAAGACATATTCTATTCAGGCACAAACACCCAAGGAGGTTGCGAAGCAGGGTGTGGCCTGGGCGAAATTCCAGGGGCCAGGTAGCGATGCCTGGGGTCCACTTTGAGTCTGATGAAGACTCTCCTCCTGAATCCGGTCTGAAGTATTTCTCCCATCGCTTGTGGCTCATTCTGGATGTCTGAAGCATTGTTGTTGTTGTTGTTGTTTAGTCGTTTAGTCGTGTTCGACTCTTCGTGACCCCATGGACCAGAGCACGCTAGGCACCTCTGTCCTCCACTACTTCCCGCAGTTTGGTCAAACTCATGCTGGTAACCTTGAAAACACTATCCAACCATCTTGTCCTCTGTTGCCCCCTTCTCCTTGTGCCCTCCATCTTTCCCAGCATCAGTGTCTTCTCCAGGGAGTCTTCTCTTCTCATGAGGTGGCCAAAGTACTGGAGCCTCAGCTTCACGATCTGTCCTTCCAGTGAACACTCAGGGCTCATTTCCTTCAGAATGGATTGGTTTGATCTTCTTGCAGTCCATGGGACTCTCAAGAGTCTTCTCCAGCACCATAATTCAAAAGCATCAATTCTTCAGCGATCAGCCTTCTTTATGGTCCAGCTCTCACTTCCATACTGAAGCATTGCCACCATTTAATTAGATTGCTCTCTCTGTGTGTGCTGGTGTGGGAGTCTGAGGCTTCCTTTCCCCTCTGTAATTAAATGTTTCAGGTGAGCTCGAGTGAGGCTCTGGGCGCGACAACCAGGATGGGAGGTAATCAAGCATTTCCAGTTGTTAATTGCGCAAGGGGACCCTGGAGCCCCTCCCCGCAAGCTCTGTTCCAGCCGGCTAGACCCCCCCTCCCCACTTCTCCCTTTCGGCGGGATTCTGGCGCTGGAGGTCAGGCTACCTTAATTTACAATTAGCGGGATGCAGCCCCTCCGCAAGCCCCGGTTCCAAGAGGAGAATCCCCCGTAGGCAGCGGAGTTTATTAAGCTAAATTAATCGAGGGGAGAGAAAACAAATATCAAAGTGTGTTCTGGTACCCCGGCATCCAACCAAGGGCTCATTGCTTCTAGGCAGGGAGGAGAGATGTCTGGAAAGGACCCAGAAGTTCCTCGGTGGAAGAGTGGAGGTTAATTTACTCTAATGGGGCTTAATGATTTTCAGGAGGCAGCCACCGAATCTTGCCTTCTAATCCCATTAGTGTTTTCGGGATCATAATTAGCGCATTAAAGGGAGGGCGTCTCTCCCCCCCCCCACTTCTATCCTGCAGAATCGCACAGATGCTCCTGCTGCAGTTTACAGCGCTTTCCGTTGCAAACTTTGGTTTTGAGTACAGGGAAGGATGGGCTTTGCTGCGAGGGCTGAAGGATGCAAGAAGAAGAGCTCTGCTAGATCAGGTTAATGGCCCATCTGGCGCAATGTCCCGTTCTCACAGTGGCCAACCAAGATGCCTGTGGGAAAGCCACAAGCAGGACCTGAGCATGAGAGCGCACACGCCTCCTGTGGCTTCCAGCTACCAGGATTCAGTTGAGCAGAGCAGAGCCATCATGCCTAGCAGCCATCAATAGTCCTCTCCATGAATTTGTCCAAATGCGCTTTTAAATCCATCCAAGCTGATGGCCATCAGTGCC